TTACAAGCTTCTGAATCCCTCAAGATTCTTAGTATAAAACACAGGAACACTTTGTATGGAAAGATAAACTTTTTTTTGGAAACAACTAACTTTGATTAATTTCTTTTATATTCTGAGTTGAAAGTACAATACTTAGAAGCTTTATATAGAGCTCAAAATGATGAAATAAAACGGTAACAAGTATTAAAAATAAAGACAAGAATCAAGCTAAATGATGGGGTAAGTTCAGCTAGCTGTTAGGCTTATTTGGGGAGCTCCTTGACTTTGGCGATGAATGTGGGATTTGGGGCGGGTCCTCAGCACGAAATGAATGTCCTGAATCTTCTAAGGATGATGAAGTGTCGAGATTAAATGAGAATGATGGTCCTTGGTCTTTAGTCTTGATTTAGTATGAATGATGATCTTCAAATGAGGAAAGCTTCTCCTTAATGTAGTTTCCTTTGACTTCTGATAAAATGGGGCGAGTAATGGCATGTTCTGGTGTGGTAAGGCTCGTGTAGGCTTCTGTGGACATGGTGTGGGGTGAGTATAATGTCTTAGTATGACATATATTCGGGCTTTCCTTGTATGAATGAAATAATGCTCCAATGGGTCCATATAAGGAATGAGGCGGTTCTCCTTTGGCTTGAGTTGAATAGCTCCAGTTCTTGGCTTGTAAATTGGCTGGTTTCTCTTCTAAATACTCCAAGGAATAAGGAAAATTCTTGCTTTTATTATGTAGCTCATCATATGTGAATGTAGGTCCAATTATATGTCTTGGCGGTTTAGATAGAATGTCTTGCTCTTTATATTGAACCGGCTCGCCCTTGGACTGATTAAACTGGTCCTCTTGATGGTTAGAACGAATCAGCTGGTCCTCTTGATGCTTAAAACGTTGCCGTTTCAAGACAATATCTCCATTGTTTTCAGCTACAAGTTCTCCAATCCCCACGGCTACAAGCTTTGCTCCATCCTCTTTAGCTTCAGGGCTCATCTCTTTGTTGAATCTTGATGTATAAGCATCAATGCTTACATCATACTCTCCCTCTTGAAGAGGTTTTGTCCTAAAAAATTCAGAACCTGCATCAAACAACCTTAAGTTAATTTTTTTAAAAATATTTAGAGTTTTGAAGCTTACCTTGGTGATTGGTTTTTAAGTGCTGCAAGAGTTGATTAAATGGGATGTTTCTGGCTTCAGTCAGCTTCAGTGTTGGTGTAAACTCTTCTAATGGTGGTTTCTCCTTAGTGAACATCATGTTTTTACCATTGTTGTCCACGTTTTTCTCCATAGTTTTGACCTCTTGTTCTTTAAAACCCGCAAAACAATCTCTTGGCAAAAGCAAGTGCATTATATCTGGTGGAATTAAATCTAAAAATTCCTGAATAGCAAAATAAGTAGCCTTATTTCCAGTATCCTGTTTAGCTCTCACTTGTAAAACTCTAATATCTTTTTGAGCTAAAGGAACTAAAATATGCTTACATTGGTTAAAGTGGAAAGAATACTCATTTGTTCTCCTATTGTGGCTGACTTCTCTATCATATTGCCAAAGTCTTCCAAGTAAGACATGGCAAGCTTGCATAGGTGCAATGTCACACAATATTTCGTCCTTATACTTCCCAATGGTGAGTGAGATATTGACTTGCTTTGACACATTTAACTCTTCTTTGTCACTTAACCACTTGAGCTTGTAGGGTCTAGGGTGCTATGTTGTTTGAAGGCCAAGTTTCTCTACTAAAGAAACACTTGCAATGTTAGCACATGAACCACAATCAATGATTAAATGACATACCTTATCTTTGATGGTGCATCTGGTGTGAAAGAGGTTATCTCTTTGCTCCTGATTTTCAAAGATTGGTTGTGTAGTTAGCGCCTTTTGAATGACTAGAAGGCTTCCTTCATCAGCAAAGTTGGTGATTTCTTCTTCTGAATTTTCAGCCATCTCTTCATCTTGAGAATCATAGCCACCATCTTGTCTAAGAATCATTGTCCTCTTGTTGGGACATTCTCTTGATACATGACCCTTGCCTTGACATTTAAAACAAATAATGTCATGAGTTCTAGTTGAATTACTAGACTTACCTTGCTCTTGGCCATGGGATTTGAATCGTGATTCAACTGCAATGCCTTTCCCTTTGTCTTTAAATGGTGTAAAAGCTGGCGGCTGCTGTTGTTGAGTTGGTTGGGGCTGCTGCTGATTCCAAGTATGGTTGTTGCTAGAGCGATTTCTTGTTGTAGCCTTCCTCTTGATTTGTTTCTCTCTTTGAACAGCTAGATGCAAGAGTTCTGGTAATGAGTGGTAAGGCTGCATCTCCACTTTTCTTTGAATTCTTTCTTGAAGTGCATCCATGAATTGAGACATCAAAGACTCATCTGTTTCTTCTAGAGCTAGATGACTTCTTAGAAGATCAAATTTTTCATAATATTCTTCTATACTCCTTGATCCCTGAAACAAAGTTCTAAATCTTTTTAATAACTCTCTTCGATAATGGGGAGGTACATACCTTTTGTTTAGCTCAAATTTCATGTCAGCTCATCTGGTAATTTGAGGATATCTCAGCCTTCTCTTCTCAGCCACTTCTCTATCCCACCAAGCTAAGGCATGATCAGTGAGACTATCAATGGCAAGTGCAATCTTCTTTGGCTCTGTATAAGCATAGTACTCAAAAAGATGCTCCATTTTCCTCTCACATTCTAAGTAGGCGGCAGGATCAAGCTTTCTAGCAAAAGTTGGTGCAAGAAACTTAACTTCTGGTGGTAAATGTATATCTTCATTGTAAGGCCTGTTTCTTTCATTGTTTCTCCTGTTTAAAATTTCTTGAGCCTGTTGTGCAAGGCCTGGTGATGGTAGTGGTACATCAGGGGGATCCTCTACACGATTTGCATCTTGTTGACCTCCAGGAATATTTCTTCTTGGCAAAAGAGGAGGTGGCCGCTCAGGAGTTTCTATCCTTTGCATCCTTGTGTTTAGAGATGTGAGATTCTCATTGATGGCTGCGAATTGGGTCTGCATCATCGCCATCATTACTTGTAGAGGGTCTTCTGGTGTTACATCTCCCATTGTACCTTGCAAAATTTCAATCAAAACAAATCAAAGACAGGTTTTAAATGAAAGCAAACAAAAACAACATATTAAACAGTTTTTGACCAGTTGAAGGAAAACTGTTTTAAAAATTAACAAATAATCTGTTAATTTAAGAAAAATATTTTTTTTTGTTTTCTTTAAGAGTTTAATAAAGCAGAATCAAAAGACAAAATATTTTTTTGAGTTTTTATGAAGTTTATAAAATTCGAGCAAAATAATTCAGCGAAAAAACAATGAAACAGTATTTATGATTTTTTTATTTATTTATATGAAACAAAATTCAAAAACTGAATGAAAACAAATTGGAAAAACTTAAGATATGAATTAAAAACACTTGGGATAGGAGCTTTTAGCTCTGATACCAATGATGTAGGATTGGAAATGGACCAAAACTACTCCTTAGAATCTGCTGCTTCAAGCTGAATGTTGTGGAGGAATGACTTGTGATTTTATAGTCAATGATGCTTGATGACCCCAAACACCAAAGGTTAGACTCTTCTAACTCAAGGACTAATCCACGCAAGAGGTTAGGAGACTCTACACGTTCTTACAAGCTTCTGAATCCCTCAAGATTCTTAGTATAAAACGCAGGAACACTTTGTATGCAAAGATAAACTTTTCTTTGGAAACAAATAGCTTTGATTAATTTCTTTTGTATTCTGAGTTGAAAGTACAATACTTAGGAGCTTTATATAGAGCTCAAAATGATGAAATAAAACGGTAACAAGTATTAAAAATAAAGAAAAGAATCAAGTTAAATGATGGAGTAAGTTCAGCTAGCCGTTAGGCTTATTTGGGGAGCTCCTTGACTTTGGCGATGAATGTGGGATTTGGGCGGGTCCTTAGCACGAAATGAATGTCCTGAATCTTCTAAGGATGATGAAGTGTCGAGATTAAATGAGAATGATGGTCCTTGGTCTTTAGTCTTGATTTGGTATGAATGATGATCTTCAAATGAGGAAAGCTTCTCCTTAATGTAATTTCCTTTGACTTCTGATAAAATGGTGCGAGTAATGGCTTGTTCTGGTGTGGTAAGGCTCGTGTAGGCTTCTATGGACGTGGTGTGGGTGAATATAATGTCTTAGTATGACATATATTCGGGCTTTCCTTGTATGAATGAAATAATGCTCCAATGGGTCCATATAAGGAAAGAGGCGGTTCTCCTTTGGTTTGAGTTGATTAGCTCCGGTTCTTGGCTTATAAATTGGCTGGTTTCTCTTCTAAATACTCCAAGGAATAAGGCAAAGTCGTCCTTTCCTTATGTAGCTCGTCATATATGAATGTAGGTCCAATTATATGTCTTGGCGGTTTAGATAGAATGTCTTGCTCTTTATATTGAACCGGCTTGCCCTTGGACTGATTAAACTGGTCCTCTTGATGGTTATAACGAATCAGCTGGTCCTCTTGATGCTTAAAACGTTGGCGTTTCAAGACAATATCTCCATTGTTTTCAGCTATAAGTTCTCCAATCCCCACGGCTACAAGCTCCATCCTCTTTAGCTCCAAGGTTTATCTCTTTGTTGAATCCTGATGTATAAGCATCCATGCTTACATCATGGGGCGTGATCTAATTTAAGCACCAGAGAACTTTTAGAAGGGAAGCCCCTTTCCGCTTCTCCCAGAGGTCTGGCTTACATGTTTTCTATGTCGTAAGACTCAGACTGACTTTCATCTCGGAACTGCATATCGCTAAATCTCCCTAGAGAATGAAACTTGGAGATTATACTCCACTATCTGGACGATCGTACATCCCACATAAGTAATTTAAGTAATCTGCAATTTGCTCCCAAATAATTTGATTATTTTGATTGTAACCACGTTTGCCAAACACAAAATTCATATAATAAATATTGAATACAAAATATTCATACAAACAAATTTTTCACTGAATTGAGAAAGTTAATCCTTTATGTTTTAAAATTCAAAAATTTGATAACATTTATAAAGTTAAAAATTGATTAGTTTTTTTTATTAACATCCGCAAATGTAGCTTTTTAGGTGGTAACAATTGTTGGCTAACAACAATCAGAACAACATCTCTATAATATTATTTGAGAAGTCACTTTTTGAGATACTCGAAAAAAATCAATTATTTACAAAATATGCCATTAGACTAAAGACAAAAAACTGTTTGGCAACGGATTTAGTTTGGGGTAAAATCAACCGAGTCGACCGAGTCAACTCGGTAAGCTAAAAATATCCGACCCAAGACCCATTTAAAAACACGCGGATCTAATTATTTGTATAAAAAAACTCGACCCAGTGACGCTTGAGGGGGAAGCGGATCTTCTCAAATCACATAAAATCAAACCGATGATTTTTTTTTGATCGGTTTAAAACTTCATTACTCACCTGTCATTGAATAAAAAGAAATTAGGAAAGTAGTAAATTTCGAACACTTTTATAAAAAAAATATGATCCAAAAATTACGGAACAAATTATAGAAATATGTTAAAACAATTAGCAAATCACGGGTAATATCATTAACAATAAATCAGCCTAACAAGATATCATATCTAAACAAATCAAGACTTAAATGATTAATACCAAAATCGTGATGAGATGCCTAGAATTATTGATTTGTATGAATATTCTCAACTGTGATATCGCTTATTTCTTTATAATTTTTAAACCTAGATTCTTTGACACACTTCACTACTCTATAAATAAAAGGTAGTTCTCTCTATGTTGCTTCACGATTGCATTATTCATTTTCTATGAATTTTCATTAATTTTACATATTTATATGTCGATAACTAATGTTGAGTAATATTTTTTTATAGGTATCAAGGCATCAATGTGGATCTAGGATCGTGATGGTCGTGATGTATCGCTCTCTCTCCAAATATGTAAGTATATTTTTTTTGAATTTCTTCGAATTATTGTTCTAGATAATAATCAAGATCTGATGTATTACAACCATCAAGCTTAGTTCTCTCTCCAAGTATAGCTCTCTCTTCAAACAAGTAACTGTTTATGTGTTCTTTGTTCTTTGAATTCCGAAGTTTTTGGTTAGTCTGGTTTTGCAAAGTTGTTTTTTTTGTGTGCTAAAGCCCTCTTTGTTTGTTTTTGTTATTTTATCTTAAATCATCATGTATGGTATGAGATCAATACACATTTAACAAGGTAACATAGCCCTGCACGTAGAGCTCCGCCTAGAATTACAAAATCCAAGTATGAACAAACTTTCTACTCTATCTTTTTATGATTTCTATATTACGTACAATTTTGTGTAGTGTAAGTCATATTATTTTAGTTATTGATCTCAGATCTATTATGTTTAAACTCTATAATCTATTTTTCTGCTCTTTAATTCTATTAAACAAATCTTAAAACTTTCGAACTTGAAAATCTACTGTTATTACTTCTAATCTATTTCAATTTCCAGGATGAAGGATGAAGTAGCTGATGAGGGTCCCATGGCGTTTGTCCTTAGATCGGAAGGGTATCAGCTAACTGAAGATGATTTGAAGAGCTATGTTAACATTTTTAGATTTCATTGATTATTGAACATGGGAAACACACAATGATGAGATTTTTAGATGTCTTATAGGTGGTTCACTACAATCGAATCAAGATGGTGCATATTATAGAAGCCATACCGTCTACCTTCAATAGACACAAGATAGTTTGGAATTCATGTGCAAGCACACATTGACGTCTTTAAGAAGTCATTAAGAAGCAATTATTTGGTATCTGATTTGATTTCGAGATTTTCTACATTTATAAAGTTTTAGTTACTCTTATGTGATCGTATTTTGGTTAGTTTTTGTTTTCCTATATATCATGGAGATTGAAAAGTGTTTATGGAGAATTTTTGTCGTTTAGAAGTGGGAGAGTGGGAGAAGCTTTGTTTTCAGAATCCATCGATCTTTGTAATTTCAGAACTTTTATGTTTGAAACTGCTTATTTCGATTCTTTTATTTGTATCCGAACCCTTAAATTAAACTATTCCTAACAACATCCTAAGAAGAATTACAACTATTTTTGTCTAAAGTATTAAGGAGTAGAAACATACCTGATAAAGTGACAATGATTTCCAGTACCACACTTTGAGATGAAGAAGCATGAGGTGCCATTCAAGGTTAGCTTCCTGCTATATAAAACCATAACATTGTAGTCACCTTTAACACCAAACCACTTGACATTTGGAACACCAGCTGCCATAAAAAGGTTCAAGAAAAAATAAAACAAATAACCATGGGAACGTTTATAAGAAGTGACGTTTTGTCTTCACGTTTTCTGGCAAAAAGAAATGTACTTTTAAATCTATAATTAAACAAAAGGTTTCTTCTAGCAATAAACAATCGACTTTTGTTTCACTCAAGCACTCAAAGCACTTTATTTTGTTTTCATAACCTGAGCATATAACTGTACAATTTTTATTTTATCGGTGAATCTGCTACAAGCTTTTGTTTTTATTTTAAAAAACAAATGAAAGATAATACTACTTATGGAGTCAATTTCACTATGTCTTCAATTCAGCTCAAATACCTTATCATACAATCTTAAGAGATAACAAACTGACCGGTTTCTGGAAGTGATACAGCTTTACCGCTGTAAGCCTATTGCAACTCCAAATCTGAAAGTATAAACAAGGAAGATGGATAAGACAATTCAGGGTTTATTACTTACATCTATTGATATTTACAATTCCAATAAGGAGCAAAAATTGAAAGCTGAAATTGGAATTCAGAGCAGTAAGAAACAAAGGAGTATTACTTGCATCGTTGTGTTCATTGAAAAGAGGAACCAAACGAGTATATTTTGAGCCATCGTACTTGAGTATTCAAATAGACGAGAATCAGAAGATGAGAAAGAAAGTAAGCTCGAATTTGCTTATAACAGTTATGGATGTGAAGAGAGATTACCATAGATGAAGCTGTGTAAGCTTGATGAGATAGCCGGAGCTTTGATGCCTGGGCCTTCTTCTTCGCCTCCGACCTTGCCCATTCTTTCAGGAATGTGTATGAAACCATACTCTAGGACACACCATACCACATGGAAATCAATTGATATAGACACAAATTTGCTTTCCCAATTTTATCTTCTGCACAAACTGAATAAGTTTATGTGACTCAAAGTAAATGCTCACCTGTAAAGCCACGTTTGCATCGCGGATTGCAGCATTTGGCTTTTTAACTATTAGAAACAACAAGTACAAATATTCAGAATGATCACCCACATTCGGTTGAAAAGGGCGAGAGAGAGAGAGAGAGAGATAAAAAAAAAAAACTTACCTCTGGTGGCGTAGAGAATTGCTGAAGTGGGGTTTAGCATGATGGCTTTTGTTAAATGATCTATAGCTTCGTCAAACTTTCCTGTATTTCGATCAAGCAATAATGAAACCATGAGGAAAGTCTATGAAGTTAAAAAAAAAAAAGATAAGAATTTCAATAATCATGTACCTTCAGAGATTGCTTCCAAGGCTTCCATGGAAATCAATTGATATATATAATTTGCTAAATTGCTATTTGAGTTTCCTGACGCAATCAATATTGTCATCCGCAGACATATAAATTCACTAATCTGCATCACAAATCTTTATATCCAATTTCAAAAGAAAGTCACGTGATCTAGGGAAGTGATTCTTCAACGTGATCTAGGGAAGTGATTGAAGAAGGAAAAAAATAGAGTACCTTGAGAGCCTCGGAGAGAATGGGTTCTTGAGGGAGATTGAAACAACATGGTTTCGCAATTAGGGTTCTACGGGTCGGAGAAAATTGAAGACGAACCGGAATCTCACTGCTTTTGATTCCGGCAGAGAACTGATCGATGCAAAAATTGTGACCACAGAACAGAGAATTATTAAAAGATTGGGGAAAACAATAAAATCGTCAGATTCGGAAGAGCGAAGACAAACCTGGTGAGGGTGAGAGGCGAGCACGAGCGAGGACGGGGGACAAGAAGAAATTAGGACACAACCCATCGTTTCTCCTTCCTCCTCCGGTCAGAAAATATCTCAATCTGAGGACTGAAGCAAGAGCACCGCGAGATTGATCAAGAACACACACATCAAAGCAATTGATACTTCTAATATTTTATTCTATAGTTGAATAACATTTTTATGATTAATTTTCCTTAAAAATTACTTTATAAATTATTATTTTGTAACAAATCTCAAAATAACATATTCTTATGAAATAAATAATAAAAAAGCAAACAATGAACTCTCACAAACACTTTTATACAAACTATCAAAATGTTAAATAACATCTATATATTATATTTTATATTTTTTTTATTATAATATATATATTCAACAATTTATATATTACTAATTACTATATAAATTATATCTGTGTTGTAGGTTTCGAGCAAAATACAAAATTTTCATTTTTATTTTTTTTATTTAATTCATAAATTTTTATTAAATATAAATAAAAAAAATAGAAAAAAAAATATGTTCATTAACCTAAATAATTTAAATATAGCAAGATTTTTACGTAATATTAATAATATATAAACAAAAACAAATTAAAAAATAGTTACACATTTTCATGGTAGATTAAAATTTAGTAATATATGTAATATATGTATACCCAAAAAAAACTTATTGGTTTCTATATTATTAACATAAATACAATACGATTCAGAAATAAAACATAATGAGATAATTTTAATGAGATGAAATTTTGATAAAAATAACTATGTTCATAAACCTAACTAACTCAAATATAGTAGGACTTTCAGGTTGAATTAATAATATAAAAATGAAAAGAAATTAAAAAAATAGTAACCCATCTTCATGGTAGGTTAAAATTTAGTAATGTATATTATACATAAGTACCAAAAATAAATTTTAATGGTTTCCATATTATTAACAAAAATACAATACATCTATAAGAAAATAAACATTTCATACAAAAAAAATATATTTTTTTATAGGAAATCGAATTTAAGATCCAAAGTGGAATGTAATAGGACGATGTTGATGAGATAAAATTTTGGTTAAAAAGTTACTTAACCTCTATTCATAAACTTGTAACTAAAATATATCAAGTATAGCACAAATATATAATCAACAAACAATACAATAGTTATGACACACATAATACAATAATTATAAATATAAAACTACTAACTTAAAACAAATATACCAGGACTTTCAGGTTTATATTTTAGTTACAGGTTTATAAAAAGTTACTTAACCTCTATGTTCATTAACCTAACTAACTCAAATATAGCAGGACTTTCAGGTTGAATTAATAATATAAAAATGAAAATAAATTAAAAAAATAGTAACCCATCTTCATGGTAGGTTAAAATTTAGTAAAATATGTAATACATAAATACCCAAAAAAATCTTAATGGTTTCTATATTATTAACAAAAATACAATACATTTATAGCAAAATAAACATTTTATACAAAAAAATATTTTTATAGGAAATCAAATTTAAGATCAGAAGTAGAATGTAATAGGACGATGTTGACGAGATAAAATTTTGGTAAAAAAAATACTTAACCTCTATTCATAAACTTGTAACTAAAATATATCAAGATTTCCGGGTTGCATAGATATATTATACAAATCATTTATATTCATCAACTATATTTGTTGAATTTTTTTATATTTCTTACATAATTTCTTATTTTCTAACAACAAATGACAATAATTTGAATTTCATATTTATTTTATGTAATAAAATTATCAATATTTGTTTTTCTTATCTTTATAAATCTATCCAACAAACTCTCAACTATAACAAAAATATATAATCGACAAACGATACAACAATTATAAATACAAAACTACTAACTTAAAATAAATATCATACACAAACAAAACCAAAATACCATTCACAAACAATACAACATTCTCATTCCAACAAACAATTAACATACAACAAACATACTCATCCAATATATTAATAATATAGATAAGAAAACTAAACTTTTAAACAGAACTTAAATTTAATAAAGTAAAAAACATTACCCCGCACGTAGAGCATGCTAAATCCTAGTGTTTTAACATTTAATATTTCTCAAAATCAAAAGCAAATTCTCATTATCAGTTGCAATGGGTAATTGAAATAGTGAAAATTAATATAAAATCAATATATTTATGTTTGATAATATTTTGCGAGGTGGTTGAATTTTAATTTACAGGTAAGTTTTCTATATGGTTAAGTAACAATTGGGCATTAGATCATTAAATGTCTCTGGAACCTGAGATCACAAGGAAATAGGTGAGACGGCACTCGAGAGGGATGAGAAGGAGGGTTTTTACCGAAGATTCTCTGACGCTTAAGTCAGACATGCACAACTGGAAACAAATACTCAAAAATGATGGTTTAGGGAGGTTGAGTAAGACATCATAGTCGTAGATCATGATATCTTTCTGATAGTTAAGTAGATATGTGGGTAATCCCTTAGCCGGCATGAGAAAAGGCTGAGAGGTTCTCATGCCGATCAATAAGAGAGATAAGAGTTTCACTAACCTAAAGCGATGTCCTCATGGGACATGGTTGAATGGATGTGACTTCATGGAGGTGTATTCTTCTCTGTTCATCGTGACCAGCCGTTATCATGACCATTTGAGATGTTTCCAGATCACCTTTTGGCATTCTTGTGGGGAGAATCCCCTTCTTCGCCTGATCTTCTTTGTATTTGTACACTTCTAACGCGTTCTCTTATTGATACTGATCAAGCCGTGTACCACTGGGTTCTCCATTTATCTCCAGCACAAGTCAAATCAGACGTGAGGCTTAAGGATTGGTGTACTGCTCCCGTGTATGTGATGATCCGGGATAAGGTTCCCATAAAATTGGTTCTAACAATTTCTCAACTTTCTGCATTGTCGAAGATAAGGTTGGGAGTGTAGACGCTGGTGCAGATGCCCGGTGTGAGTGCCTTGAATCCTCGGGGAGTTTGGCTTTGAGGTCTTCATGTCGGTACAACTCCTTGGATCTTCGGGATGTTTGACTCCAAAGTCTTCACGCTGGCGTGCTGCCCGGTGCAAGTGATTCTTCTGGCTTCTCTTCCTTTTGCTCTCTTCCATCCATCAACATGAACTCTAATTGATCAGAAGGTCTCCAAAGCTCCATTGTACCTGAAATACACTCCAAATGCAATAAAACATGCATTCCTAATCCTAATGCATATTAACTCTACTATGAATGTAAATGGGACTCTTTAGACTATAAAATGGATGATATTCAATAAAAAACTATACTAAATGAGGTTTAAAATATTGCAATAATGCAAGCTATCATAGATTCCCTGCAAATTAAAACCTAAAGTACTAGGATGCTTATTTGTGCACTTACAGGCATTTAGGGTTTATAAATTTAAAACGTGAAAACGAACTCTAAATTATAAAAATAGATTCCACCAAACTTATGACACTTGAATCAAATCTTTTCAAGCTTGAAGATGGAGTTGATGTAAAAGATAATGAGTAACAAGGTACTTGGTTCCACAAACACGGTTTTAGACTCTATATTCCAAGGGCTCTTCCTCGCATGGACTTATAGACTCTACACGAAATTACAAGCCTTCTGATTCCACAAAAAGACTAGATAAATCGCAGGAACAAGTGTTTAAAAGATATTCTCTTATAAAACAACAAAAAGGATTTTCTTGATTATTTTCTTGGTGTCTATGAAATGAGAATACAATGAGCTTATATAATGCTCAGAAATAAAGATATCAAACGGTCATAACAATAAAACAAAAGCATAAATCTTGGCTTAAGTGGTGAATAAATGTTTAGCTAGCCGTTGGTATATGGGGGGGGGGGGGGGGGGGGGAAATGGCTCGATTGGTGGGATGAGTCTTTGAGTCTTCAGCACGAAATAAATGTAGACAATCTTCTAGAGATGATGGAGGGTCGAGATTGAGTGAAGAATATGGTCGTTGGTCTTCATTCCTAGTTTGGAGTAAGTGACTATATTCAAATAAGGGAAGTGACTTTAAAACGAAATCTTCTTTGGGTTGGGTTATTTTGACTTGGTTATTGGCTTGGTCAGGTGGTTTAGGACTCTAGGTAAACTCTGTAATCCTCAAGAGAGGCGTGAATGAGATGTTGTATAAGCTATGCTCATGGTTTTCTTAAATGGCTCCAAGAATGTGAATGTTGGTACATGTGTTTGTTTTAGCAGCTTTCCTTAGATATCTTGGCTTCTAGCTCGTACTGGTGGTGGTTTAGCTCGATCATCATGTTCTCTTTGATGTTTTGGTCGATCAAACTTGAAGCTTGGGTCCTTAACTCCATTGAACTCAGCTACAAGCTCTCCTTGCTCCTCAGGTGCAAGTAAGACATATTCTGGTTTAGCTCCAACGCAGCTTCTCTTTAGCTGATATAGTTGAAGTGGTATTGATGTCCTCATCACTGAAAAAACTTTATTAATAATCCTTCCCTCAAGAATGGCTTAAAGTGGAGCTGATACACTGGAGATACTCAATCCAGCTTAAACTCTTGTTAGCGATCCAAAGATGCTTAGGTAGGATAGAGTATTAGGCTTGAGCCAGCCTGACGGTGCAGCCATAGGTAATGGATATTCCAAGGACTATGTCACTATAATATGCCCATCTTTTTCGAATGGAGCCTTGTCATTTAGCAACACTCTGCCCTTGTCCATTTCACGGTTAAGTGCTATTTGTCTCGACCAAATGTGGAATCTTCTTGTATCGATTCTTGAGTTAACTGGTGAAAATTTGGCTCTAGCGTGACGACGTGTTCAGGACGGTAGCAAAACCAACATAAACCTCTATGTACCGCATTTAACACCAATAGGACACGCTGTCTAATAACATCCAATATTATGAAGTCTTTTCGATACAATACCAAAACTCAGTCAATTGCAAAATACTGAGAAACCATTCACACAATCAATATAGAAAGCCCTCAAACAATTGATTTTTTATATAGTTCATAAGATGCTTATTTATTGCTTGAAGATCTGATCCACACAAGATACCTACTGAAACATAGCTCCACCTAGAAAACAAAACACTTCAGAATATATTGCAATCTCTGAAACATAAACCGCTACACCTGAAATAATAGTCATGCATAAGTCCTTGTGACTTTACCTCA